CCCCCCACTGGCATCTGCTGGAGGCCCCTTGGGGGGGGGGTGTGCGTGCCTGCAGGGGCTGAGGCAGCCGGCCCTGGCCTGCCCCCCTCCTGTTTGGTCGTGTTGCTCTCTTGGCTCCTGGGCCTGTTCTGGGACTCTTCACCTGCCTCTGCCCCGCCCCTCAGCGAAGGAGGCTGCCAGCTCCCCACTCCCTTTCCACAGCGGCCCCCTCCCTCCCTCCCTCCTTCTCAGCGGCACCACCACCGGGTGCTGGGTGGAATCCGAGAACCACAGAAGCACACAGCCTGGGAAGGGGGCCCTGCAGGCCACCTAGTCCAACCCCCCCCTGCTCAGTGCAGGACCGGCCGAGAGAGCATCCCTGGCAAGAAGAAGGGTTTGTCCAGAGTGACGCTGCCTAAAGACGGCCGGGGGGGGGGCGGGGGCTACCCCTCACCCAGGGAGCGCGGTTCCACTGCTGCACAACTCTGACTGTCAAAAAGGTTCCCCTAAGTTCCAGCCCTTCATTTCCCGCCCTTCATTTAAACCCATCCTTGCGAGTCCTCCTCTCCTCTGCTGCCGACAGGAATGGCTCCCTGCTCCTCCCCTCCCCCGAGTGACGCTGCCCTGTGGCTGTCTTCTGGGCGGGGTGTCTGTGTGTCTGTGTGTCTGCCCTGGGAGCCCCTTCCCGGGAGGGGTGGGGTGGGGTTCACCACCACAGAGTCCCAGTGCTGGAGGAAGTGCTTGGGCAGCGGTTACACATGGCTGCCTGCTCCCCCCTCGCGCATTCTGAGCGTCCTCAGGGGGAGGGAATCCATCCTGTTGAGGCCGTCTGTGCTGGAGGCGGAGGAAGGCGTGTCAGGGGGGGTGCCTTGTGGGCGGGGCAGTGCCAGTGGCTCCGGAGCCCCAGAGCCCAGCTGGACTTGTGCCTGGTTCCCTGTCCCCTCCGCAGCCCCTCTCTGGCCTCTGCAGTGCCCCCCCCCCGAGCGTGAGTGGGATCGAGCTTGCGGAGGGCCTTCAGTGTGCGCCCCCCCCCCCGCTCCAGCCGGGGCTGTGCCTGTCAGAGCCCTCCAGAGGCTTTGCTTTCCCAGGGGCTGCACGGCGTTGAAGTGGGACTTTGTTTCTCTGCTAGGATTTCTCCAGTGATGAGACGAAGCTGGAGTACAACGTGGATGCGGCCAACGGCATCGTCATGGAGGGGTACCTTTTCAAGCGGGCCAGCAACGCCTTCAAGACGTGGAATAGGTAACCAGTTCCCTCGCTTCCCTTTCCCGCCACGCCTGGGCTTTGCCGCGTGTCTGTGTGGACCGCTCCCTTCCGTCTCTCCCCCTCCTGTCCCGGATGTGTCTGTGGGCCCAGGGCCGGCCGCTTGTCAGGCCGGGAGTCTGGAGGACACTTCTTGTGTCCTCTGGCTTGGGGCTTGGAAGCACTCCTCTCCTGTGGCCAAGGAGTCCCTTTCCTCCTAGGCTCAGTCAGCGGCCGCTTGCAGCTGAGCGTTGACGTGGATGGCGCCGTTGGCGAGGTTAGCCCCTTGGTAGGTGTTCCCGGGACCCCTTGAAATCATGAGAACATCAGAGGAGAAGCCCATGTTGGATCAGGCCAATGGGCCATCCAGTCCAACACTCTTCTGTGTCACACAGTGGGGGCCAGAAATACCAGGTGCCCTCGGGAGGTCCAGCAGTGGGGCCGGGACACTAGAAGCCCTCTCCCACTGTTGCCCCCTCCCCCAAGCATCAAGAAGACAGAGCATCACTTGCCCCGGACACAAGAGAAGCCAATGTTGAATCGGGCCAATGGCCCATCCAGTCCAACACTGTGTCACACAGTGGCCAGAAATACCAGGTGCCATCAGGAGGTCCAGCAGTGGGGCCAGGACACTAGGAGCCCTCCCCCCAGCACCAAGAATGCAGAGCATCACCTGCCCCAGCCTGAGAGTTCCCGTCTATACCTTGTGGCTAATAGCCACTGATGGACCTCTGCTCCATATGCGTATCTAATTCACCCTTGAAGCCGTCCGTGCTTGTAGCCGCCGCCACCTCCTGTGGCACTGAATTCCATGTGTTCATCACTCTTTGGGTGAAGAAAGACTTCCTTTTATCTGTTCTAACCCAACCGCTCAGCAATTTCATGGAGTACCTCTTTCTCTACTTGCTCTTTCCCATGCATAATCTTGTAAACCTCGATCCTGTCACCCCCCGGCCGTCGTTTCTCCAAGCTAAAGAGCCCTAAGCGCCTTAACCTTTCCTCATAGGGAAGGTGTTCCAGCCCTTTTATCCTTTTAGTTGCCCTTTTCTGCACTTTTCCCAATGCTACAGTATCCCTTTTGAGATGGGGTGACCAGAACTGCACACAGTACTCCAGATGAGGTCGCGCCGTGGATTTATACAGGGGGGCCTGATTATGAGACTGGCCGAGGGTCTGGCCGCGAAGGGCTGAGTGTGCTGAGGCCTGGCCTCCGCTGAGGTCCCTCTCTGAAAGCTTCCCCTTCAGGCCAATGTGCTCTTGGCCTCCATTCGTGGCCCTCAGCGCAGGAATCAGGAACGGCAGGCCGGGTGGGGCATCTCTGCCCCCGGACATACTCTGGTTTGCCGTCCCGGGCCGCAAGGGGGGTAGGAGATGGCATTCCACAGCATGCTGTTCCCTGCAGATGAGGCGGGCAGTGCAGCACCTCAGTCACAGGGACACACCGGAAGGAAACGGAGCTCTGTTGGCCGCGGCGCCTGCTCTGCCCGGTGTGTCCTCTGAGGGGGAGGGAGGCATTCTGGGAAAGGCACAGCCGGTGTGGGCATGCTCAGTACTCGTTGGCTTTCCCCTTTGCTCTGACTGGGGGCGCTTGTGGGTGTGCTTGTGGGTGTGCTTGTCCGCAGGAGCATGGTGTCTAAAAGCTGTCGCTAATCGACACCCCCCCCCCCCCGGGGGGCCCCCCCCCACTGTGAGAGGCCTGCCCTGCTCTGGGGACCAAGAAGGAACAGCTTCAGGCCTCTGTGGGCCAGCCTGTTTCCCGGCTCCTGGCCCCACTCTTGAAGACAGGCCTCGGGGACAGAGGGGTCCGCAGTGTGGGGAGGGGGTCCTTTGCGGCCCCCTCCGGGCTGCTTCACGGGATGACGTGCAGCGGATAGTGCTGCTTGCCTTCCGTGAACCCGGTGGCGCTGAGAGTTGATGCAGAGCGGTGCAGCCACTGGCCTCGCCGTGTCTCTCCCTCTCAGCACCCCTGATCGGCCTGCGTGGCTGGGGCTGAGGGTCCATCCCTTCCTGCCTCAGTCAGTGCGCACGCTCCCCTGCCTCGTGCCGAGGGGAGAGCAGGGTGTGGCATCCCACTGGGCGGAGTCCCCCCGTGGCCCGCTCC